AAAAAGATGGGGTTAAAGAAGCTGACCCCAAAGGTGTCTTCCAGCTTAATAAAATTTCTGTAAATCATAAAGAAAATGGGAAATGATAGAACAGCATGGATTTGTATTTCCTGGAGCCTTTGAAAGTGTCCCTGTCCTGGGCACAGACCTTAGCATGACCAGGAGCACGTATGGCAGGAGATTGGGGATGGCAATGATGTCAGAGTTGTGAATGACCAGGGAGGAGAATGAGGCTCAGAGGTAAACTGGAGGTGGGAATCTCACAAGGTCTCCCTAATCCATGATCCTAGCCAACGCTAGTAGAATCTGGAGGAAGACGGGATAACCATTTCCTGTAACCATACTGAGTAGTCTAGCTGTGTGCGAAATGGCAGCTGGGAGCACAGCGTAACCCAGACCTACTCAGGAATGTCAGATATCACTCACGAGCTCCACTGAAGAAGGGGTGGTCATCGCAATATTATTTTCAGGCACAGATGAGCTTTCCCTGACAATGCATTTCCATTCCCAAGTCATGTGTGGTATTTTGGTTCACACCAACTCACTGGCGTAGGGAGATGAAATGTGGGCATGTAACATCATTCCTGAATACATGAATGAAACAGTCAATGACTAAGAGAGAGTGAGCCCTGAGGGGATGGGTCTTGGCTGTGAGGACAGTGAAGGTGATTCTGAGTCAGCCACAGCTTTGCAGAGTGTTAGTCTCTGGCTCCTGGGCAGAGAGAGCATGGTGGCTGGTCAATGGGGTCCAGTCCACTGTCCCAACTGGTGCTTGTAGGTTAAACTCAGAGACCGGGGTGTCACGAAAGACCCTAAAGAGACTCTGTGAGGAGTGGGGGAAAGAGGGGGCCCTGTGTTGTAAATGTCAGAGGTAGAAATCAAGGAAGCCTAAGATGTTATGAATGCTGGGAAAACAACACTGTCATTCTGTTGGAGACAGTATGGGACATTTCACTCCTCATCTTGCAGTGATGCCATGGGGGACACGGATCAGCAAAGCTGAGTAGAAGTATGGGAAAGACGATCTTAGAGGGGGGTGTCAGGGTTGGGGGATCCATGGAAGCCTTTCTGAGAGAGCACTGACCCCCAGTTTACAGCGTTCATCAATCCTCCTGAGGAGCCCTAATGAAGGCAAAGAAGCAAGTCTTCAGCCTCAGCTTTGCAGAAGTACGACTTTCTAGAAACCCCTCCTGTCAAAGGAGCTGCAGGCAGATAGGCTTATAGAGGAGTAGGGATATGGAGGTCAAGGACTGGAGAGAAGGAATGCCCAGAGGGTATGGGATATGAACAGAGGGCTTGCCTTTTACCTGGCTTCTGCCTACCAGAAAGAATGAAGAGAGAGAGCCAAAGCAAAAACAACACCCAGTTGTGGATGTGATTGGTGATAGAAGCAAAGTCTGATGCTGTAAAGAGCAATATTGCATAGGAAACTAGAATGTTAGGTCCATGAATCAAGGCAAATTGGAAGTGGTCAAACAGGACATGGCAAGAGTGAACGTCAACATTTTAGGAATCAGTACACTAAAATAGACTGGAATGGGTGAATTTAACTCAGATGACCATTATATCTACTACTGTGGGCAAGAATCCCTTAGAAGAAATGGAGTAGCCATCATAGTCAACAAAAGAGTCCGAAATGCAGTACTTGGATGAAATCTCAAAAATGACAGAATGATCTCTCTTTGTTTCCAAGGCAAACCATTCAATATCATGGTAATCCAAGTCTATGCCCTGACCAGGAATGCTGAAGAAGCTGAAGTTGAACGGTTCTATGAAGACCTGCAAGACCTTCTAGAACTAACACCCAAAAAGGATGTCCTTTTCCTTATAGGGGACTGGAATGCAAAAGTAGGAAATCAAGAAACACCTGGAGTAACAGGCAAATTTGGCCTTGGACTACAAAATGAAGCAGGGCAAAGGCTAATAGAGTTTTGCCAAGAGAACACACTGGTCATAGCAAACACCCTCTTCCAACAACACAAGAGAAGACTCTACACATGGACATCACCAGATGGCCAACACCGAAATCAGATTGATTGTATTCTTTGCAGCCAAAGATGGAGAAGCTCTATACAGTCAGCAAAAACATGACCGGGAGCTGACTGTGGCTCAGATCATGAACTCTTTATTGCCAAATTCAGACTTAAATTGAAGAAAGTAGAGAAAACCATGAGACAATTCAGGTATGACCTAAATCAAACCCCTTATGATTATACAGTGGAAGTGAGAAATAGATTTAAGGGACTAGATCTGATAGACAGAGTGCCTGATGAACTATGGATGGAGGTTTGTGACATTGTACAGGAGACAGGGATCAAGACCATCCCCAAGAAAAAGCAATGCAAAAAAGCAAAATGGTTGTCTGAGGAGGCCTTAGAAATAGCTGTGAAAAGAAGAGAAGCAAAAGGCCAAGGAGAAAAGGAAAGATATACCCATTTGAATGCAGAGTTCCAAAGAATAGCAAGGAGAGATAAGAAAGCCTTCCTCAGTGATCAGTGCAAAGAAATAGAGGAAAACAACAGAATGGGAAAGACTAGAGATCTCTTCAAGGAAATTAGAGATACCAAGGGGACATTTCCTGCAAAGATGGGCTCAATAAAGAACAGAAATGGACCTAATAGAAGCAGAAGATATTAAGAAGAGGTGGCAAGAATACACAGAAGAACTATACAAAAAAGATCTTCATGACCCATAATCACGATGGTGTGATCACTCACCTAGAGCCAGACATCCTGGAATGTGAAGTCAAGTGGGCCTTAGAAAGCATCACTATGAACAAAGCTGGCAGAGGTGATGGAATTCCAGTTGAGCTATTTCAAATCTTAAAAGATGATGCTGTGAATGTGCTGCACTCAATATGCCAGCAAATTTGGAAAACTCAGCAGTGGCCACAGGACTGGAAAAGGTCAGTTTTCATTCCAATCCCAAAGAAAGGCAATGCCAAAGAATGCTCAAACTACTGCACAATTGCACTCATCTCACACGTTAGCAAAGCAATGTTCAAAATTCTCCAAGCCAGGCTTCAACAGTATGTGAACCGTGAACTTCCAGATGTTCAAGCTGGATTTAGAAAGGGCAGAAGAACCAGAGATCAAATTGCCAACATCCGTTGGATTATTGAAAAAGCAAGAGAGTTCCAGAAAAATGTCTATTTCTGCTTTATTGACTATGACCAAGCTTTTGACTGTGTGGATCACAACAAACTGTGGGAAATTCTCAAGAGATGAGCATCCCAGACCACCTGACCTGCCTCTTGAGAAATCTGTATGCAGGTCAGGAAGCAACAGTTAGAATTGGACATGGAACAACAGACTGCTTCCAAATAGGAAAAGGAGTATGTCAAGGCTGTATATTGTCACCCTGCTTATTTAACTTATATGCAGAGTACATCATGAGAAACACTGGGTGGAGGAAGCACAAGCTGGAATCAAGATTGCTGGGAGAAATATCAATAACCTCAGATATGCAGATGATGCCACCCTTATGGCAGAAAGTGAAGAGGAACTGAAGAGTCTCTTGATGAAAGTGAAAGAGAAGAGTGAAAAAGTTGGCTTAAAGCTCAACATTTAGAAAATTAAGATCATGGCATCTGGTCCCATCATTTGGTGACAAACAGATGGAGAAACTATAGAAACAGTGACAGACTTAATTTTTGGGGCTCCAAAATCACTGCAGGTGGTGACTGCAGGCAGAAATTCAAAGACACTTGTACCTTCGAAAAAAAGTTATGACCAATCTAGACAGCATTTTAAAGAGCAGAGGCAATACTTGGCCAATAAAGATCTGTCTGGTCAAAGTTATGGTTTTTCTAGTAGTCATGTATCAATGTGAGACTTGGATTATACACAAAGCTAAGTGTCAAAGGATTGATGCTCTTGAACTGTGGTGTTGGCGAAGACTCTTGAGAGTCTCTTTGACTGCAAGGAGATCCAGCCAGTCCATCCTAAAGGAAATCAGTTCTGAATATTCATTGGAAGGACTGATGTTGAAGCTGAAACTCCAATACTTTGGCCACCTGATGTGAAGAACTGACTCATTTGAAAAGACCCTGATGCTGGGAAAGATTGAAGGCAGGAGGAGAAGGGGATGACAGAGGATGAGATGGCTGGATGGCATCGCCGACTCGATGGACAAGAGTTTGAATAAAGTCCGGGAGTTGATGATGGACAGGGAGGCCTGCCGTGCTGCAGTCCACGGGGTCACAAAGAGTCGGACACAACTGAGCGACGGAACTGAACTGAACTCTGCCTACCTGTTGTTGGAAAAATCCAATATCCTCCCTGACTGATCCTTAGTTTTCTTCTCTGTACAATGGGAACATACTCACAGTTCTCTCAGAATGTTCTCATGATGATTAGATGAGAGAATACCAGCAAAAGAGCTTAGGAAAACTGTAATGTATGGTATGAAAATAAACTTTATTATGAATGACAGAGGTGGTGCGTGTGTGCGTGTGTGTGTGTGTGTGTGTGTGTGCAGCCAGAGCACTGGGATTATTTCTGTTCCTGCTTGGTGGATTTTTGAAGATCCTACAGGTTTGCCAGAACTATTTGTATTGGGTGACTGCGGTGGTGGCTAATTAAGTTTTTGAATGGGCTCAAGAGCATTCTGTATGTGGCCTGAATCCTTGCATTGTCACCTGAAATCACTTTTTGTAGTAGGCTGGAAGGAGACTTGCTGGGTACCTGCAAATTTTCTTCTAGTTCTCTACATAGGAGAACTGCTCCTATTTGGCCATGGTAACCTACAACTGATTTGACAGCTAGCAGTAGTGACTACAAAACATTGGTTTGTAGCTCATTGGGTCATGAATTCCTCTCTGGGTGTGCCAAGAAGTCCCATATCACATGGTTGTACATCCAGGCAATTTAGACATGCACAGGTTTGAACACAGGGCCTGAGAAGAGAACTCCTTGGGGACAGACAATGCAACATAGTCCCAAAACATGTCTTTGAAAGGCCGCATGGACCCTCTTGTCTCCGTGTACCACCAGTGCCACTGTGGTGTGCATCCGATAATAATAACACATTTTTTTAAACAAATTAAAAAAAGTCTATTTGACTGCATTGGGTCTTCGTTGTGGCATGTTGGATCCTTAGTTGTGGCATGTGAACTCAGTTGCAGCATGTGAGATCTAGTTCCCTGACCAGGGACTGGACCTGGGCCCCCTGCGTTGGGAGCTCCACCTTAGCCACTGGACCACCAGGGAAGTCCAAATGACAAACACTGAGAGTTTACAATGTGTCCAAAATTCTAAGTGCTTTTAATGAATGATCTCATTGTTTGTTTGTTTGTTTAATTGTGGGGAAATATATATAAAACTTGGAGTAGAAAATGGCAACTTTCCTACTCCAGGCTTCAATATTCTTGCCTGGAAAATTATATGGACTGAGGAGCCTGACGGGCTATAGTCCATGGGGTTGCAAAGAGTGTGACACAGCTGAGCTACTGGGCATGCACACATTCATACATAATACTCATTATTTTAACCATTTTTAAGTGTACAGTTCAGTGGAGTTGTGCAATTCAATGGTATCAAGCACATTCTAAATGTTGTTTAACCATCATCACTGCCCATCTCCAGAAATTTTTCATTATCCCAAACAGAATCTCTATTCCCAATAACACCTCATTATCTCCTCTTTCCAGGCTTCCCTGGTGGCTCAGCTGGTAAAGAATCTGCCTGCAATATGGGAGACCTGGCTTTGATACCTGGGTTGGGAAGATCCCCTGGAGGAAGGCATGGCAACCCACTCCTGTGTTCTTGCCTGGAGAATCCCCACGGACAGAGAAGCCTGGCAATCTCTATTCCACTTTCGCTCTCTATGAAATTGTCTATTCTAGGTATCTCATGTAAGTGGAATAGTTCAATATCTGTCCTTTTGTGAATGGCTTATTTCACTTAGCATAATTCTTTAAAGTTTACCCATACTATAGTATGTGTCAAAATTTCATTCATTTTTTTTTTTTTTAACAAGAAAGTAGGATTTATTGGTGGGTGTGAGTAAGGAGGGGACAAGACAAGGCTCTCATAAATGCAGGGCCGGCCATTTGACCAGGGGGCCACAATTAGGGACATATTTGACCCCACAGCTATCCAGGATGAGTCACTTTCCTGCCACTATGTTTTCAAATTCACCAGCCTTAAACTTAGTAAATCCCCACTTCTTGGAGACGTGGATCTTCTGGTGGCCAGGGAACTTGAACTTGGCCCTGTTAGGGCCTCAGTCACAGGCTCCTTGTTTTGCAGCTTGGACATCATGACTTGGGCAATGTGAACCCTGGCTACTGTGCCCAGGGCCTTTCCAAAGGCACTGCACACACCTATCTGGAGCCTAGACCGGGGACACAGGTCAGTCATGAATGTCCACTGGCAAGGGCTGACTCCAGGTCTGCTTAGGGCCCCCCACAGAGGCCACAGCCTGCATACACTGCCAGGAGGCTGCTGTCTGCAGACACTGCACGCCTGACCCCACAGGGAAGAGAGCAGAATTTCACTCCTTTTCGAAGCGGGATGATATCCCACTATATGTACATAGTACGTTTTATTGATTTATTCATCTGTTAATGGACGTCTGGGTTCTCCACATTTGGGCTCTTGTGAATGATACTCTTTAAAACTTTTCTAATGGAAGATGCCAAACATATGCAAAAGCAGACCAAAAGAATGTGATAAACGCCCATGTACAATAATTATCAAGGGCTTCCCTGGTGGCTTAGTGGTAAAGAATCTGCCTGACAATGCAGGAAACATGGGTTTGATCGGTCAGGAAGATTCCCTGGAGAAGGAATTGGCAACTGATTCAAGTGTTCTTGCCTGGGAAATCCCATGGACAGCCCACCATGTAGCCTGGTGGGCTACGGTCCATAGGGTCACAAAAGAATTAGACACAACTTAGGGACTAAACAACTATAATTATCAACTCATGACCAATCTTGTTTCACTTATATCTATACATAATTCTTCATTCCATATTATTTTGAAGACTATCTCAAATATCATAAATGTTATCATTGTTTACATTTTACAAAATGGAAAGGCACAGAGAGGTTAATTATGTTACCAAGGTTACAGAGCTCCTAAGAGATGCAGCCAGGATTTAAATTCAGGCAGTGTGATGGCTGAGCCCATGCTTGTGTCTCTGCTACACCTGTGTTTATGCAAACACACACACATGCATCAGGTCAACTCTGGGAATGTTGGAAAAGTGCATTTAGAAAAGTTTGCCTCTTCCTACATTTTTTCTACACTTGGATGTTGCCTGGAATCTGGAATAGATAGGCATGAGTTTGAGGTCTAAGGTCTTAGTAGACCTTACTTAGTAGGTCTAAGTAGAGTTGGTGATCCCCAACCTCCAGAGTTGCTGTGAGGATTAAGTGAGATAAAGTCAGTGAAAGTGCCAGGCACTTCCTAGCATGTGGCAGGAGATCATTACATGTAATTTCACATCCTCTCCTTGGGCTGGGGGGGGGGGGGGTGGGGGGTGGGGGAGGCAGGCCTACCTTCTCTCCATAGAAGCAAATGTCAAGAAAACATGCTCTATCAGAGTGTGACTCTCAGAGGTCAATGTGTAATCGCTGCTGGGGGATTTGTGTTGTGAAATAAGGGATTTTATCCTTTGGTCTTATGGTGCAGGCTGTGGGTGAGTGCAGAACAGAGGTGTTGCAATTCCTTCTGGCCCCTGAAATCATGTATGTATGTGTATGCATGTGTGTGCACAAGTGTGTAAGACAGGCTAGTAAGTAAGTTCAGGCTTCATTCTCTGCCCAGAGCATTAATTGCTTTCTTTTCTATAAAGAATTGTGTTCAAAACAAGCAACTACTTTCTCTATCTCCGTTTGCTCTTACTGGCTAAAACCGGAAGCAAAGCCCTGTTTGGGACCCTTGTCATTTTCTGGTCCAAGGACACAAAGCTACAGGCTGGAGGTCTGAGTTCAGACAGGTTTTAGCCAGTGCTCCTTATCTTATTCTAAATTTCTGTAGTCAGGCCCCTTGAATTAATCTGGGAGGGCCTGCAGGGCTCAGTGGACAACTGAGCAGGACTCACTGATTTACAACAGACGAGTCTCAGGTGACCTCATGATGTCCCTGCAGAGGAGGCTTGGGAGGTGGGCACTGCAGCCTGCAGTATATTAAGTGGCAGTTAGCAAGAGTCTGATTGGCTCTTTCCTCTTCCTGGAATGCCCCTTTCTGATCTTGGAAGTAATATTGGGTTGGCCAAAAAGTTTGTTCAGGTTTTTCTGTAACATCTTATGAAAAAAACCCAAAAGAACTTTTTGGCCAACACAATATAATCCTTTAATGCCAAGCTCAAATACCACCTCCTCCACGAAGCTTTTCCTACATCACCACCCATCTCCCACTGCCAGCCACTCCCACTGCCATACAGAGTAATTTCTCTCACTCTGAAACCTTATGGCATCACTTTTGTACCCTTTGAGGCATTTTTGCTGCTTTATCTTTTTACTATCTGAACACCAGTATTAACTCTGATAGATTGAAGTGAGCTCCTTGAGAAGAGGAATCACTTCATCTATTCCTTTTACTGTTCAGACCGCTTCACAGGCACATAATTAGCAACAAATAAATATCTGTTGAATAAACATTTCATGCCAATGACACATAGTAGGCATTCAGCAAATGCATACTGAGTGTAATGACATCCGTCTCCCATGAGTGGAATTTGTAAGAGACTTTTTACCCTACCCTTGATATTTAGATGGAAACCAATTCCACACAACACTTTGAGTTCTAAAATCTGTCAAAACTTCAATGGAAATAACCATAAAACTTGCCTTGAGGTAGCATGTGAGATGGTCTCAAGGTGTTTCAAACATTCTAACATTTCAAAATATGTCATTGTCTTTGTGTATATAATATCCCACCTGTCTCCAGAAGAACTTGAAGTGTCACAAAGTAGAGTGCATGTGTGATGATTCAAGATCATATCAATCAACATCTGGTTATCAGATATTTCCTGCTTATCAGAAGAATGATCACTGATATTTGTAACAGTGATTCTGCAGTTCCACAAGAAACCAAAACACCTTGCTTAAAGATACAATGGCTCCAGAAACAAGCTTTTAAAAAGCCACTTACACTATTTAAAAATATACAGTTCTGTGGTATTAATCACATTCATATTGTGGAACAACCATCACCACTATTCATCTTCAGAAATTTTTCATCATTCCAAACAGAAACTCAATACCCAGTAAACTCTAACTCCCTATTTTCCCCTCCCTTCTGTCCCTGGTAATCTCTATTATACTTTCTGTCCCCATGAATTTGGCTGTTCTAGGAACCCCATACAGTGGAACCATACACTATTTGTCCTTTTGTGATTGGTTTACTTAGCATCATGTAATCAGGTTCACCCATGTTGAACATGCGTCAGCATCTCATTCTTTTTAAGGCTGAGTAATATTCCATTGCTTCTTTGGTGGTTCAGAAGGTAAAGAATCTGCCTGTAAGGCAGGAGATATGGGTTTGATCCCTGGCTCAGGAAGATCCCCTGGAGGAGGAAATGGCAATCCACTCTAGTATTCTAGGAAAAACTCCAGGCAAGAACACTGGAGTGGGTTGCCATTTCCTCCTCCAGGGGATCTTCCCGACGCAGGGGTCAAACCCCTGTTTCCTGCTTCTCCTGCATTGGCAGGTGGATTCTTAACCACTGAGCCACCTGGGAAGCACAGAATACCTTTATTTATTTATTTGGCTGTGCTGGGTCTTAGTTATGGCATGCAGGATCTAGTTCCCTCATTAGGGATCAAACCCAGGCCCTCTGCATTGGGAGCTCAGAGTTTGAGCCACTTAGCCGCCAAGGAAGTCCCTTATTCTCACTCGTCAACCCTATATCCACGGTAACTTCCCACTAACCAGAAAATTTGAGTAATTAGAAAACCCCATTCCACCATTGGATCCTTGGCAAGGATCTTTCTTGGAATATGCGGTCATGGGCAACAGGCAGAGACAGGGAATGATGCCCCTGTCCCAGGAGTGGACATGGGCCACAAGGAGGCGGATGATGGGGCCACAGTAGCATATTAGTAATGTGCTCAGCACG